TAATTGCGTAGAATTATATGCACCGTCGCACTGAGAGATCCTCTCAGTAGGGTACAGAGCCTCGACCGCCAGCCCCTTTAGCATATACAGGTAATCTAAGAATTAAACAGTTGGAAGTAACTTAACTGAACACACTAAATACTATTAAAAAAATTGCATAATAAGTATGAGCTAATAGCTCAGAACAAAACATAGGGGAAATGCACAGCGTTAATAAATTATTAAACAGCTACATATAAGATAACCCAATACCAAAAAAATATCAAAACAAAGAATTAATTCAATTATACAAAGTACAATGGAAATGAGAGAAAACTACGGAGAACTGAGATACACAATTTACACTCAACACGTACTCAACTCGTGTTATTTACACGAGTATGTTTAAAATTATGATGGGCAACATATGCTAGGAATATTCAAATAATACAGAAATTAAAATTATAATATCCGATAGGCACAATGTTTGAGAATTGAAATGTTTAAATTATGATGGTTTCAGCGTATACTAGGCATATTCAAATAACACTGAAATTAAAATTACGATGACCGATAAGCACAATATTTGAGAATTAATATGTTTAAATTATGATAAGTGCAACATATACTAGGAATATTCAAAGAATACAATAATTAAAATTATAATATTCGATAAGCACAATGTTTGAGAATTAAAATGACTATGTAATGTAGAATAATAAAGGTACAATAATACAAGACGGACGAGACCACTGAACGTACGTTGCGGAGTTATTGCAAAATTTGCGACACTGTAGATTTTAGCAGAGAGATAGTAAACTGTCGCATGCAAGATGAAAACTCAAAAATGCTCCAATGCAATAAAACAATTTTAAAATCCTACCTTATGATATTATACATCTATTCTTCTCTTCATAAGAATCCACAGATAAAACACGCAGATACAAATGTTAACACTGAAAACACAGACACTAATGTAATTACCCGAATCGACTGGGTATTATCTAGTAGCGGAACACGGGGTGGCCTTGCCTAAATTCACTCTATAACGCTGTACACACAGATGCAGTCACTAATTTAACTGAAGTTAATTAGATGTATGCATAGATCGGCTTGCAAAATTCAGACTAGAACACTCTTCCCGCACAGATGTAAAATTAAATTTAGAAGCGTTGAAAAATAATTGCTTGTCATTGAAAAATTTGCTTAAATCACTGAAACCAATTAACTTACTATTCCGTCAAATTTGAATTTTGAGTTGGTGGTGTCCTTCGCTGTGTAAAAATTTCGAACGAAACTGTATAAATAGCTAGAATTGGAGTTTTCGAACTAACAGTCCGAATTTCTTCAATTTTAGAAACTTTGGTTCCACTCTATATGCTGTTTATGGGAAAATTAGCTTGGAGGCGCTAAAGTAATTAGCAGCGGAGATATGACTTTGAAAATAAACACACACTTCCATTTGTTATCTCTCCTTATTGCAGCTCCATAAGTTCCCTCTGCAGGGGGCGGGGAAGGTTGCAAAGGTTGCTTGCTAAGGTCAAGTTCACGGGGTGGTAGCTCGGACCTATCGAACGGCAGTGCCGCTCTAGGGAAGTGGTAGATCCTTTGCTTACCACAATGCAACGAAATGGAGTCTTTAAAGAATTCAGGTGCTTTCTTAATAATTCATAAGCGACCACAGTCCAATCGTTAATCAAACGTACTAAGATCTTGCTCTTTGCGATGATAGATTGTGATATTCGCACACTATATCTGCATATACAAACGTAAGGGAGCTATAAAAACGCTTGCTACTTCCGTTGTCCTTCGCAACGAAGCCCCTGTCACAGTATACTAAAAATTGCCCAATGCTAAAATAATTTAAGTTGAACGGGACGATATGAGAAAGCAACATTTTTGTGTTTTTTTCCTATAAAATAGAAAGAATTACAAATGTTATTTAGCTAAAAATTTTTAGAAGCTGCTATTTATTATATGTATTTTTATTTTATAAAATTGATTGGCAGGTAATTTTAAAAAAATTCTTTATTATATTGTAAAGAGTAAAGCATTATTAACTTGAAATATCATAAAATTAAACTCAATGGAAATAGAAATTAAAAAAAATTATTAAAAGTGCTGTAAATGGAACTGAAAACTACTAACATTTTGCATTTTTGTAAAATAAATATAAAGCAGACGTGAACAATGAACATCAAATTGCAAATCATTTAGGGGTTAGATATACGAATTGTTAAATTTTGTACATCCGACTATTGTAATCTTATATAATTTATGAAATGCTATTGCATTGGTAAACCTGACAAAATATAAAATGAAAAATAAGCATATTCACTAAGACATGAATACCTTATTATGACATACCTGTTGGAAATTATAGCAAGAATGTGTATATTTATTCAAGAAGTTATTACGTAAACTAAAAGTGTAAAATTTAGTAAACCTGGAGTGTATAAAGAAAATGCTATTTAATATTCCAATTTTTGAAAGTAGAATAAATATAGTATAAATTCTAAAATAGGACATCCAGTATGTGGAATAATGTATGTCTGGACCTGCAGGCTACCAGCATGGGGAGGGGGGATAATCTCCATTATGAAATCAAGGAATAGAGAATGTAATATCCAACAGAAAAATGAACAGATGTGCTACAAATGCGATTTTTCTTCCGATTAACCGAGATTCCTGCATGTCACTTTCAAACAGTTGCTGGCTAGAGAATCACAGTGGGGGGACGTAAAACTGAGTACGCTCCTGTTCAGCTTTTTCGCCCGCGATGTGCGCGTATAGCCAATAGCTGACCAAGTTCTTCTCATGTGTCATAATCAGGAAACCTTCTTGCTTACCCGTTTCAATATGGCATCAGAACCACACAGAGATGAGTTTTTGCTTATACTATCATAACGTATACATCAATAAATATCAGCATTGTTCACGCCATTTCTGATTTCCAAACCGTACATATGGGTAGACATTTAATTCTCATTAAAGGGAAAACTGTATATTTATAAGCAGTGATCCAACCAGTGTATCATATTCTTCACATGTTATAACATCGAAAGTAAAGAACCTAAATAAACGACAATTCTATGAAATCAATGTTTTGCTTACAAAATTCCTTAATTATATAAATAGGGCTATATCATGTGTAATCAAGCTCATAAATATCCCAATATGAAACACCAAAACTAACTTCAGCAATATAACAACTTCTAAAATAAAGCAGTTGACTGTGAAAGAGATCAATAAAATACAATTACGAAATTTTTGGAGGAAAGTTACAACTTGTGTCACACAGCAATCATTTATTGAAGTTTAATTAAAAATTACCTTTGCCGCGTTTCTACTTGTTACATTATTTTTCACTAACACTGTTATCACAGATAGCTGAGTGGTCAGCGCGCTGCTTTGGTGGCGGAGGAAGGGAAGGTGGTGAGTTCGAACCTCACCTAGACGGTATATATAATTCAGTTAGCTTTTCTCTTTGAACGTGTTTCCTTATATTAACCATGAATCATTATATTCTTATTACCTATTATTATTGTTTCATTTCTTATTTTTCATTATTATTATTGTTTTTTAATTTAGTTTAAAAATTTCTGTGTAAATAGAAATCCTTATTAATAATATATCTGCAACTCCTTATCATATACCATCTATAAATTCACTCTTTATTTTTTACTTATTGCATATTTTATCAGCACATAATTTCTCATAAAACTGTCCAAAGTTTGAACCTCATTCTAAATTCAAAAATAAATAAAAGAAAATTAAAAGGCCAAGGGAAGGGAGTTAAAAAATATGAAGTTGGTTTATGAATATGAAGTCAATTCCTACTTAAATCCACAAGAAAAAATTTTTAAAATACAAAATAAATAATAAATAAATAAAAATACAAACAGATTTTTTTAATTAAAATTTTTAAATACAAAAATAATAAATAAATAAAATACAAACAGAATTTTTAATTAAAATTAAAAATTTTAATATGTGAAAATGCTGTATTAACATCAAAGTGTCATTCAACTACAAGTTTACAAAATTGTATTTGAACTTGAGTGGATGAATAAAAGCATTTTATGTACTGAAAATTTCAACAAGATATGGGAGAGTGAAGCTAATAGTAGGAATTTAATAATTCCGGATATTCCTTTCGCAAACAAGGCAGTAAAAAAAAAAATCTCTTTGAACAGGTTGCTCTAAATAAATCTTTCAGACCCATTCTTGCCATTTTTTGCAGTTTTGCCTCTTCTTAATAATTGCACTTAATAGTAAAGTTTCAGCTATAAAAAAAATCATCTGATTCGGACAACTTGCCGCAAACATACAGAAGAACAGCGAAGTAATAAGACACAGCTCTGTTGACGCTATATTACAGCGTCACATGATTTTTGCGCAAAATCATTCTATTGGTTAAACACACTCTTCGCAAGCGTACTCGGTTGGACGCTTTTACGCTGGTAACGTAAAAGTGCGTTCGTCAGCTACGTTTCAAGCGTACTCGTGTGGACAGGCCTTAACTGTCATCTTACTAGATTTAAATTGAATTATCCATAATTAGAATCAACGAAATCCCAATGATTTCAGATCTCAGACTTTGTACTGTATAATTATTTAAAAACATTTCTTGATATTTAGCTTAAAAATTATTTATGCAATGTATTCTGATTAATCTTCACTTTTCTTTTGAAAAATGATCATGTATTTTTGTGGGAAAAAAGTGGGGAAGTATTCTTATTTTTTTTATAAAGGTAAGTATATTTTTAACAGACTTCTGAAGTGCTGTAATTTCACACAAAATTTTTTTAACAAATTACAAGTTAAAACTAAGTAGCATTTTATTGTTAACTAGAACAGTTACTATTGTCCAGTAGATTTTGTTTATCTGCTTGCTTATTAGAATTGGATTGCTCAATATTAAAATAATCCAAACTAATGCAAGCAAAAATTTAATGACTAATTTGAATGAATCCCATAATTGATAATTTAAAAAATTATTTTTGTGTTAAAGTTAATAATTATATAATTGTCTATTTTTTCTCTAATCTAGGAAAAATATAATCGTACTGAACCTCGTAATCATCGTTGTAAAGTATGTCATAGCTGGTTTGGATTATTTGCTACATTTGTCAAACATATGGAAACTGAAAGTCACAGTTATCAGTGTCGAGAATGTGGGTTGTTATTTGTTCAGCCTGGCCCTAGACGGAATCACATTCAAAGTATTCATCCAGAAGTTGCAAATATCTGTGAGGTAACAAAATCTTTAATACAGTCTATAATTTTTTCAAAACCTAACTTTTGTATTTCACAGTTTTATGGCATGACAACTTTTATCCTGTCATGAAATTTTCTGTCACTTAGTATATAATAACTTGTTATTAAAATATTTTGTTTCTTTATATATTGTTTAGTTTTCTTAATATTATTCTGAGGAATGGAAAGCTATAAAAACAAGCATAAAAATGGGAATTATATAAAGCTAGTTGATAAAATTTTCTTACTTGCATGAATAACTACAAGTGTATACTGAAACTACAGTTCGAAAGAAATGCCATGAAATAAATAAATAAATAAAGGCCTTGATCTCAACAAAATAAAATACTAAACAGCAAGATGCAGTAAAACCTTGCCAAACGTGGGGATTATGCCGTTAATACAATGCAAATGGAAAAATTGCATTTTGAAAAATTAACTTTCTATGGAAAAAAATATTAGGATAATTCAAATTAAGAAAGTGTGTATAATTTTAACAAACCTAGATATTGTAATTGAAAAGAGAAATAAAACAAATGTTAATTGAAAAGATTTTGATAGATATAATCTTGTTGACCATGAAACTGTTACCAAGTAGCATGATTTAGCACCAATTCTGAATAAGAAGGACACACTCATACCATTTGGTATACTCATACCATACTCTTTATCATTTGATGTAACCTTAATTTCTTCTCCAGAAGCCACTTTTTGTTTATAAATAAGGATGTAATTAACTGATGTACATTTTTATTGCATTTTGTGGGAGGAAAAAATTATTAAACTTTGGGATCTGCATTCTGTAGATCAGCAAGCAGTGAATTATTTCCAAAATTATAAGATCTTACCATCAAATAAGTATGTATTAATGGACACGATATGGTCAGCTGGTCAGAACAGCAAGCAGTGGATAGCTTCTAATGTTATGAGATCTTACCATCAGAAAAAGTATGTGTTCATGGACACAAAATAGTCAGCTGATTATGGCCAACAAAACAGGAATAGATTGAAACAATTAGTTGCGGTAAGTTTGACCTTGTAGTGTTATTCTAAAAAGAACTTCCGGTTAAACTAGAGGGAATTAAATTACGAAATGGTAGAAATTGCCTAAAAACTTTTGATGAAGCCACCTAGATACTAATTGTTTATTAAAGAGATTTCAGTTGCTTCAGAATTCTGCGCGAATAATTGGGCCTAACTTCAGTAGGAGCTCTGCCACTTTCATGGTTTAATTGTAGCCCATTTTCATGGTCAATGAGATAACACATAAGTACAGATTTTTATTAATGTATAATAAATAAGTACATAAGACAATTATTTTTTGTAAAGCTGGTGATGTTTGCTTGGACTAATGAATGATGCAACTCTTAAAAATGTTTACACACAGAGCACAGAGGAGCACAGAGTTTTTCAGTGCCTTTCATAAAAGTGTCTTCTTTCTTCATTTGGGTTAATTTCCATTGCAAAATCAGACAATACCTGTGTCTTTTTTAACAGTTCATTGTGAATGACAGTGACAGTGAAGAAGATGATACAATAGATCATCTTCAACTTACAATAGTTTAAGTTGAAGATTATATATCATCTTTACTGTTATTGCTCTCACTGTCAACTGGTCTTATAAGATTATTCAATTCTTCTAAAAACTCTTCTGCACCATTTGCTTTTGTAATTTGTATCATTAATCATTTTGTAATCATCCTTTGGCTTCCTCTTTTCCAGTTGCAGAATTGTTCTTGAAACTTGAGCAACCTGTGTCAAAATATAACCTTAGGTTTTGACTTCAGATTGAATCTTAGCTTCATTCTCTTGGTTCTTATACGTAGTGCATTTATAACTAGTTCTCTTGCACTTTTTGTTGTCTTTTGCTTTTTGTCTTCTTCATTCTTCCTTTTAGATGTTATATTAATTTTTTTTTTTTAAATTAACATTAAGTTCAAAAGAAGAAGAGGAGAAATGCTGACAAATATATGTGTGCAGCTGTGCTTGAAATGAGCACAACTCACCTTAGGTCACTCATAAAGGCTAATGCAAAACAGGTTTGCTAGGTACACACATGAGTGGTCTCTTAAAAAGAATTCCTGGAATGAAATTCTAGGGTTAGATAAATTAAATGGAAACAGGCAAAATTAATTAAATTAAATGGCAAAATTGTTTCCCACATATTTACATTTATCTGTAATATTCAAAGGATAAATGTAAACAAGGAAATTCAAAAGTATAAATAAAAATAAAAGTAAGGAAAAAAGTAATCAAATAGAACAATATGAGGTTAGATTTAAGAGTAGGAAAATTGCTGCAAAGGCTCATAGACTGCAGAAACTCCTGATTCGTTTTCCTCACTCACTAGTCCAAAAAATTATGCTTTGTACAAAATGTTAATTTTGTAATGTAGTAAAATGTTATATATAAAATTATAAATGTCTTAAGCTTCCTTTTCAGGAACATGGTGTATAGGTTTAATTTCTTTTGAAGTTAAAAGTAGTAAATTTCAATTGTAAAATATGGAAAGAAAGGAGAAGATCAAAATCATTAACTTTCAAACTGCAAATAATATTAAGTTATATCTAGTATTGTTACTGCTATAGTATATGTACACTCCACAAAAAAAAGAGAGAGACAGTTCTATATCTCCCATTCTACTGGGCCGATTGATGACATTCAAATTACGTTTTTCATGTCTTGAAAGGTCGAATTAGGATATATATTAGATTTATATCTAGCATTGCTGTAATATAGGTATTTTGACACAAAATCGGGACTTTCTCTGAAATGACATGCCAATTTTTTTACATAGTTCGATTCTACGTCTCAAATTATGTCCAAATATTAAATTTTCTAAAATTTGGTGTGAAATTTACAGAGAAATTCAAAAATTTATCTTACTGAATTATTTTCAGTTTGTACCAAGAATAATCCACTTGGGGAACTTCTCAATACAGTCAAAAGTCGTTAATCCGGAATGATCTACAATCTGGACCTCAAAGCTACAAACTTTCTGTGCATGCGCACAATACGTTTACACATGCGCATTTAATGTATAATGGATGGTATAAGCTAAGCTAAAATTATCTATTCAGTTAATGTTGCAGATTGTGTTGTTCCTTAATCTTCAAATTGGATCCGGCTTATTATTTTTTGCAGATTGTTAGAGCAGTTTTATAAAAGTAAGCTTGAACTTTCGATTATGTCAATGAAATTTCCGATGTTGGAGCTGCCAAGGATTGCAAAGCGAAACATGTTTCGATGTCCATTAAACAAAAAGTAGAACTGCTGCAAAAAATGGATAAAGACATGAAGAAAGTGACAGAGAGGTGATTCGTTTCTCTAACATTCCGAAATCTGTTTATCAATTTGGCGCTGCTCTGCAGAAGGGGAGGGGGAACGTCGCGACGCATGATGAACTGGAAGTTGATCTGTCAGCACTAGCCTCATCTTCAGGACAGATGTTATTCGGCTTATAATTCCTCACTAAATGTAGTGTTTCATCTTGATGTACTCTGATATAATTTAAATCAATTTCCTCGTCATTATAAATATCACGAATACACATCAAATAGTTTTCTGGTTGCAATTTTCTAATTTCGACATACATTACGCATGCGCACGTTGAAAGAAATGTTTAATAAAGTAAACAAATAAATATTAAGCTTTTTTTTTTTTTGTAAATTTGATACTCTTTAGATCATAATGCTCTTTATTCATAAATTACAGTTTCATATTTTTAATTTTATAATTTCTGCATGCCATCTTACCAGATTTAAACTGATGATCTATAATCTGGAAAAACAGATAATGCGGAATCGCCGAAGTCCCAACGAGTCCGAATTAAAGACTTTTGACTGTATGTGGCAACCTATTTTCCTTTCCCTTTTTAAAAAATGTGCATGAGTAGGGGGGAAGTCACATTCTTCCTACTTTCAGATAATTTTAACATAGTGCCTAAACGACATTTGATGTTATCACTTTCAACAAATATGCCAAATTTCAAAACACACCACTATATAAATTCACATATATCTTTGAAAATTTTGAATAAAAAACTAATTTTTTGCAGGTATATTTAGAAATACATCTAGAAAAAAATATTTTATAGATTATAATTCAAAATGTTTCTTGAAAAATTTATAAAAATTATTTTTAAAATAAATTTTTTGAAATGTGAAAGAAAGAACCAAATAGGTTTAATAAAAAAAAAAAGAGATTAATACATATGTACACATACACACACATCAAGTTCAATTAACATAGAGGAGCTAAAATTGTCAGAGCTAATTTTTTAAAAACTACTCATGCAATTTTTGCAAAACTTGGCAGTTTGGCATAATTTGAGTTGTAGAATCGAAATATGAAAGAAAATGCATGCCACTTAAGAAAAAGTCTGATTTTGTATCAAAATACCTTTATTAGAACAATGCTTTGTATAAATCTAATACATATCGTAAATCACACTTTATAGACATGAAAAACACAATTTGAATTTCATCAACTGGTCCAGTAGAGCAGGAGATATAGAACTGTCCCTTTTTTACTTCCTTGTACGAAGTAAAAAGGAAGTATTGTAATCGCGAAAATTTTCATGCAGCATATTTCAACGAAAATATCCATTTTGACCACTATCGAATGCAATTTAACTATGTTTTTGCGTGATATCTAAGTAAGGACAGAATTAAATACTCTTTTCCTTCAAAAAATTATAAAAACTGCTTTAAAATGATCTGAAGAGAATTTTTGTGGCATCTGTACGTATCTCGCATAACTCAAAAACGAGTAGCCTCAGAACATTGAAATTTTGTATATAGGACTGCATAAACTGTAGATGTGCACTTCGTATTTGATTGCAATCGGCCACACCAAACATATATAAATATATTTATAATCCTCTCTGTTACCCGGTTCAGTGATCTCAGTTTCTTTACTCCCATATGTTTGTAAATTGTACATATTTTGCTTAAAAATGATTGAATTATGTTGTTCTTATCTTCCGGTTAGGGTTTGCCTTTAGTAAATTTCTATGCCATTTTTAGATTATCACAATTTTAAAGTTGTTTAAGTGTCGCTAAGTCTAATACTTTTCTTGATGGCGGCCATTGTTTGTTTACATTTGAAACAGCAGGATAGTGGATCTGTTGCCAATCTAGAGAAACTTAGCTTCACACACAAAGATAACGCCTTCCTTTATTATTGCGAATTAAATCAGCTTAATCCTTAAGTGTTTAAGATTTACTTTGTAATTTTAATACAGATATTTGAGTTTTTATGTATTTTTGCCTTGTCGCGAAGTGAGAACGAATCAATGAATGAGAAATACCAATCGTCTGTAAAAACTTTTCTTTTTTGTTTTGTTGCTTATTTCTTTATGCGTCTTTCTAGCTTTATTAGATTATTGAATAGAACATATGGCAACGATATAATTCTTTAAATGATGTAAATTTTGTGCATCTGAGTTATAATATGAATGAAATATAATCTATTAAATGAACCTAGCGCCAGAATGTTTATGATAAACAATAGAATGAATTTTAAAGAATACATTTATTCTACTGTGGTTTATGCGCTGTCAGCAAAGTAGATTTAATTCAATCCAATACATTTAAATGAAATGCAAGAAAACATGCATATAATTTAATATTCCGTACAAGGAAGTCATGTGGTGTACACATCAGATTTTTTTTCTTTTAATGCAGTGTACAACAAACAATGCTGAGGAGAATATGCTGGAAGTATTGCTTCACAAAAGCAATGTCCTGATTTATTGTGAAACAATAAACCAAAACAAAGGCTAGGTGATAAATTGTCACACAATACCTAAATCTAGGTGTTTTTGCATTAAAATCAAGATTTAGCATCATTTGCAGTAGCAGACTTTGCCTCCCCCCCCAAGAGGATAAACGGTAACTAAAAATTTCTTGAAAGTGTTATATAAGCAATCAGCCTTTTCAATACAGTGAAGGGACTAAAAGAGCTTAATTAAATATCTAAATATTCTAAATAAATTAAGATCCAAAATTGAAATTTGATACTGTTGAAGCAAGTAAAAATATTAATCAAGTTTTTTAAATCCTAACTTAGATTTGTGGACTGAAACTTCCAAATTCTCAAGCACTATGGAGTCATCTCTCAGTTCATAATATTGTATATGAATGTCCTAAATGTCACAGGCGATTCTTGCAGAAAGAACAACTTGTTGCTCACTCGGAAGTTCATGCGTATGTATATTTACAATCATCATTGTTTTCAGATCTCTTCTTTAATATTCTTAAAATTGCATAAAATAGTGATTGCTAATGTATAGTTGGTAATATTTGGTTTGAGATTAATAACAATTTCCATTAAATAATTGTATTTTTCTGTTGCATGTTTTTGTTAGGAAAAGGATAGATTAATGTGGTCTTGCTGTCTGTTCAGTGTATTAGTTCTTAATGGCCCAAAACTTAAAATTTGATTTCTATTATTAAATTATTCTACACCCCCCTAAATATATCACATTTTTAGCATAGAAAGAACACTTAAAAATTTTATTAGCTTTTAGACATTTATTATGAATATTATAACTGAAGTGAAATCGCCTAAACACAGTTATATTGTAATATAATAATTGGGCATCTAGAACTGGTAACTTACCGAAAGGATAAATGAAATTTACGACCTGTTACATAACTTTTATTTTTGGTTATTATTTTGAGAGAGTTTGCTAAATTAGTCAATGTTTTTTTTTTTTTTTTTTTTTTTTTTTTTTTTTTTTTTTAAATTAATTTCTGATCCTTCATCATGTGTAGATTTTAACTAAATGATGTATTAATGTCCAACTGAGTTATATGAAATTGAAGGAACATCTTAGATACAGGAAAAGATAATGCTGAAATTGAGAATAAGGAATAAAAATGATAAGAAAATTTAATCTGGATTTTTTGCAGTAATTTTATGGATTTTCAAATAAATTATTAATTAAAGAGCAAAATTCAGAAATAAAAGGTAACTGATTTAATAACCAAATAAAAAATATGTAAAGGGGGGAAAAAGTATTTTAACAGGCCGTCTATAGATTTGGGATTGTTGAGAGTTATTGTTTAGTAGAATACATGGTAACCATCCAAAGGAGTGTACTAGATGTAGGTAAAATAACTGGTTTTATTTGTTGCTTTCTGTGAACTTTACAGAATAGGTGTACAAGGTGTACATCGAGTCTATAAAGTTCAAGAAAACATGAAAAGAAAAGCATAAGATGAGATTATAGGGAGGTAACTTGATAACTGCTGCATTGTATTGGGTATGCTTTGCCATTACATCAGATTGATAGATACTTGGCTGGTATTCCATGCTTTGCTTCATAATAATGCTGTCTGACACACTGCAGACTTAGTATTCCCATTCTTGTCTTCAGCAGTAATTCCATGTCAGGATTCCGTACATTACACAGCCACACCATGCTGGAAAGAACTGCTAGGGCAACATAACAGTCTTGGCCTCTACTGCAGGAATGTATAGTATTGTATTTCTTAAACTCTTCAGCAGTATGCAGCTGTAAGGGGAATGCAAATTTACCAACACTCTGCCTCACAGAGCTGAAAAGAGAATAAAACCGAAAAAATAAGTTCATTAGTTAATGTTGTCTGCAGGCATTTTTGCTGTAGATACATACTGGGTGTCAGTTTTCTTTTTGTCACATAACTCTCTAATGTAATGAAAATGTGAAGGATCCGATTTGAAATGTGAAATGAAAAGGATCGGTATGTTTTGTTCAAGAGTGATTAATGCGATATTTCACTAAATCCTGTACACTTTATCTTTATACAGTACAGTTGGTTATGCTACCTATTTTGAAAAACATAGCTCTCTTAATAGCAAATGCAAGTGCATTGCTTCTTTTGAAGCTTCAATTAATGCTGTGTATTCTGTTTCAGTATTTGATAGTGCTACAATTCTTTGCTTATGTGATTCACAAGAAATCAGACTTTCTGCTTTTATGAAACTATAGCCTCTGAACAATTTCCTCTTGAACTTTACAGAATAGGTGTACAAGGTGTACATCGAGTCTATAAAGTTCAAGAAAACATGAAAAGAAAAGCATAAGATGAGATTATAGGGAGGTAACTTGATAACTGCTGCATTGTATTGGGTATGCTTTGCCATTACATCAGATTGATAGATACTTGGCTGGTATTCCATGCTTTGCTTCATAATAATGCTGTCTGACACACTGCAGACTTAGTATTCCCATTCTTGTCTTCAGCAGTAATTCCATGTCAGGATTCTGTACATTACACCTCCACACCATGCTGGAAAGAACTGCTAGGGCAACATAACAGTCTTGGCCTCTATTGCAGGAATGTATAGTATTGTATTTCTTACTCTTCAGCAGTATGCAGCTGTAAGGGGAATGCAAATTTACCAACACTCTGCCTCACAGAGCTGAAAAGAGAATAAAACCGAAAAAATAAGTTCATTAGTTAATGTTGTGTATTTTCAAGTCATCCTTTGCCTACGTAACATCTAAGATTTTCATTTGTTTTCCGATAAGGTATTTTCACGTTTAATGTAGGTTTGGGGTATTCTAGTATGTGTTTTAATTAAGTACAGCAAAAGTATTTCTGGCTACTGTTAAGCTAACCTAGTTTACCAACAGAATTTGCAAAATCAAGTCATGTAGATACTGTTGAATAAATTAAGAATTTCATTAAAGAATGAATCTTATTTTTGTGTGCATTTTCATTTTCTTTCGCAATGCTAGAAGATTCCCACAGCTTAATGCTAAGCTAATATTGTTGATACATGGTCTAACAGTGTTGCTATAGGCTAACATTCTTGCATACCACACTTAGATAAGAGTAGCTGAATTTGGCTAACTGACTCATTTTCATTTTGTTCAAGATTAATTTTTACCCAAGTACCTCAAAAATTTTATTAAGAGATCATGGATGATTCACTTTTAATTAGAATTATGTAATCATGGATATAAATAGCAATTATGATACAGTCATCTGTTCTTTTCTGATCATGGGTACTGCAACTGTCTGATGTTAATTTTTTAATTTTAGTGTCTGCAGAGTTTCATCTAGTTTTAGATTCCTAATTCACCAGGTTTGTTTAGGTCCATAGATTCATTTTTTGAGCTTACAGACTTTGCCCTCAGAGGATATGAAACGTTTTAGTTGGGACAAGAATATTTTCCCATTCAAATAAGCTATTTGGACATTTTAAAAAAATATATATATATATAATGTTGTATGATCTTAAATCATTTAGTGCGAAAACAATTACTACTACTTGCGCAATTGCTGCAAAGTTAGTTAATAATATTTATTTCCTAAACAATATTGATTAATTGATTATATATCCTAAGTTTAATTTAAGTAGAATTATTTTAAAAGAGTGAATCCATACTGTAAGTTATATTTGAAAGATGTTTTGAAGTAAATATAATCATTATTTATTTATTTTATTTTATTTTATTTTTATTTATTTATTTATTTTGGTAAGAAAGATTAGAATTCAAACTCTTTTATTTAGTTAATTCACAGTGTTTGTTGGTAAGGTCAAAATCGCATCATCAAATTTTAAAATACTTTCAACAACGTTGAAAATAGCACACCTAGAAGAAAGCAGGGGATTCCACTGCTTTCTGCATAATGGTACGTACACATGAGAGATTGACTTGATTCCAAAATCAAGACAATTAAACAGATACAATGTGTACAATTAGACAACAACAGTGCAACTTCAATAGTGTGTTGGACGACATCCTGCATTATATGCCAAAACACAATCCAACATTGAGTTGATTAGATATGTTATGTAGTCGTGAGGCTGTCCAGGGCCCATAAATGTTGAACAGCCACCTCATGTTCAAAGTGACACAGTAGCATCATTCATCCGCTCACCTCATCGTCGTCTTGGTCACTCCAGACCCAGTTCTCCACATGTTGGTGCCATCTCATGTTCCCTGCTCCCAATACACACTCCAAATGATCAACCTCATGAGCAACATGCCGTTTTGACCAGCCTGTGGTTTTCCTGCCAATAATCAAACCACTCTTAAACTCACTTAACTGTGAGAAGTGTCTTCTCATACGTGTGCCTAGCAGTAATCGCTTACTGAAGTCCTCTAGAGTCAGAATATGATCATCATGTTTAACCCCTTCGTGCCGACTGTCACGTCTACGTGCCAGCAATGAACACACTCACTTCCCGTCCAGCGCGCAAACTTGCCAGAGCATTTTCCCGTTCAGCCCCGACTGTCACGTATTTCTACCAGCGTCCTGGAACGTTTTAAAAACTATAATTTCTGCCATAAGATGGCACTGTATGTCCATATGGTTTCAGATACATGTACATTAGACCTTCTCGAAATGAGAGAAGCATGACTCACATACACGTGTTTTTGATCATATAAACAAAAGCGGAATTAAATCTTTCCGAATGGTGTGCTTATGACGTCTCAAATTGGCACGCAGTAGTTGTTTATTGTAAGTGAGAAGTTTTTATTTTCGCTAAAGCGTTGGTATTTCGTTTGCAGTTCAGATTTAGAAAAAATTAGATCTTATTAGACGTGAATTCTTCTGTTTTTCCGTTGCAGTCGAAGCATCGAAAATGTTTAACATAGCATGAAATAGCAGAATGATGCAAAATATTTCAGATATTGATTCTGAAACAGATTCTGATAGTAGTGATAGTGATACTATGTTATACACTTCACATTTTCCAAAACTTTGTTCAGAAGAGACATAAGAAAATGAGACGACGATGGTTCGTTGTTCACATTCCCGGAAAAACCTCCAAAACAGCAAATGAGTTTTACGAGGCAAGGAATGTAACGTAGGGACTGTGTATCCTGTTTTCAAATTTTTCATACAGAAAGAGATTTTAAGTAATTTTAGTTTTAGATGTAAGTTAAAGTCTAAATGGAGAATGGAAAAAATGTGTAAATAGCATTTCAAAGATAATATTATAACATATAACAATAGCGTTCTTTGAAAGAAGGAAAGGAGTTTAGGCAAAATTGCCCATTACTCTTCCGCCATTTGATCATTTAAGTTAAGGGATTTAAATGGTAACTCCCGTAAAAGGTAAATAATAAATAGATAAGATCTCAAACTGACACCAAATCTATAGTATCAGCAAAAGATCCCATCTCTAAGTTCAAGGTGTCGGCTGGATCGTAAAAACTTCCCTATTGGATGGAAAACCGATTCAATCCCTCCCAAACCAC